AAGAAGAAGAAGAAGAGGAAGAGGAAGAGGAAGAAGAAGAAGAAGAAGAAGAAGAAGAAGAAGAAGAAGAGGAAAAGGAAGAGGACAGAGAGGAGGATAAGGAAGAGAAAAAGATAAAATAATAAAGAGATTAAACTTGTAAACACGCAAGGGGGCAATGGGAATAAGTGGCTCTTTGTACAGGTGATTGTCTTCTAAAGGTGGCTGGTAGAGCAAATTCGACAGTAAAAAAAAAAAAACAGAAAAGAAAAAAGAAAGACTTGTTTGTAATGTATCTAGCACGTCAATGTAGTGGCAAAAATGCTGACCTCACCACATTCTCTGCGAGTGTGAGCAGGTTTGTTGTGGTTCTGGGTGAAGATAGAACATCTTCTGTGAGGCCAAAGCAAGGATGACTTATCGCTTCACTACACAATCTATGACTACACACTACTCATTTCCACCCTATCCCACCCCATCTCTCGCACCTACCCCTTACTCTTCCCACCCCCACCCCCTCTCTCTCTTAAACTTACACACTGTCTCTCTCTCTCTCTCTCTCTCTCTCTCTCTCTCTCTCTCTCTCTCTCACACACACACACACACACACACACACACATGATCATGCACAGGTATGCCACACATGTCGTGTTACACACATGCACACGCACATTCTTTAGTTTATTGTTTATGCAGCATGGCAGTTTCTTAACAAAAAGAAAAATAAATTTAAGGAAGGAAGCCATCAATTCTCTCTTGGAGATGAAATGGTAACTAAACTAAAAAGCCTTATGACAATTAATGTTGTTTTTGTCATTGTCTTCTCTTAACAACGATATCTGCCCTCAGAAAATTTCTCAACAGTTGGATAGGGAAAGCTCCACTGAATTGAAATATAATATATTATGCTTTCAAATGACAACTGGGTACTGAACATAAACCAGGGATGTCTCACTAGGAACAAAGCTGAGGACTTTCAACTAAAACTTGAGGTCAATCTTGTTGTATGGATGTGAGACATGGAACGAATTTCAGTTGCATAAAGAGGATCCAGGTTTTCTTGAATAAATGTTTAAGGAAGCTACTGAGGATCAGATGGACAGATAGGGTCACCAACGAGGAAGACTTAAAAGGAGAACAAGACAGAGCCCAGTCAAACAGGAGGTGGGAAGAAGGCGGTGGCGATGGATTGGGCATGCTCTCACTCTCAGGAAGTCAGGCAGCTGCATGCATAACAAGGAAAGAGTTGGATTGGAATCCACAAGGCAAAAGATCAAGGGGAAGACCACGTGGAACCTGGAAAAGAGTTACAGAAACTGATGTACAGAAAAGTGGGAAGACATGGAATAATATCAACAGGTTAGCCCAGGGTAGGGAAGAGTGGAAAGTGTTTGTTCATGGCCTATATATCTCGATCCAGGGTGAGAAAGGCAACGATGATGAAGATCATGAGGAAAGAGCAGAAACTGTTGACGCAAAAAAGGCTTCACACAATAACAATTTTTGAGGAAAACTTTGCAAAAGGATGGCAAAATTTTCTTTTTAAAAAACTGACATGATGCCTTTTCCGTTTTATGAAAGCCTGTCTAATAATCTAAGTTGTTCGATGGGGCGTAGATACACCTATTAAACAATTAATTTAATTTTTAAGACCCTCTTCTTCATCGTGAGCAAGCTGTTTAGGTCACCATTTTTCCCCTTTCTGACTGTTACGAGAAAAAATGCAATTTTTTCTAAACTTTTTAAAGAAGCTCCAAAGAGACAGCACAGAACAAGGAAAAAAATTTCCTTGTATAAAACTGTTCAAATAATTCAATTGAAAAAAGTCATCTGAATATATAATATATGTTGTTATTGTTGTTGTTGTTTGCGATCCAGTAGCATCTGAGCGTTAACTCTTCTGCATGATGCCATTCGGATATATAATATATATATGAAATAGAGGTCGTGAGTCTGATGACTGGTACGGTAAGAAGAGATTAAGTAATTAATTAACAATTTAATCAGAACCATAAAACATGGGCTGAGCGAGCTGCAAAGTGCGGCTTATGGTTTCAGGAATGAGTTAAATAGCCAGCAGTCCAGATGTAAGGCATCCTTTTCAGAGTGTTGAGTATAGTGATCAAAATGTTTGAACATGGAAAACGTACAATATATTATATATAAAATGTATAAAATATATACATATATATATATATATATATATATATATATATATATATATATATATATATATATACAATATAATAAAAAATATATATTTAGTTTCCCGTAGTTTTATAATGGCACTTGCAACACAATAAGGTCATATACAAGTGACGAAGATTAGAGGTGTTACATTACAAGAGAGTAACAAACACAAAAAAAGAGGGGAGATAAAAACTATAGATGTTTGATAGGAAAGAAGTAGCAAACCACACCAGAGCACCCATCAACCACCCACATTATATATATATATATATATATATATATATATATATATATATATATATATATATATATATATATATATATATTATAAGAAGTACAGTTTTCCTGCAACGCAAAGCTCTTTTGGACTTGAGGAACGGTAACAAACTAAGCAGCTGGTAATAAATGAAAATATAATACAAAAATTGAATGGTTATACTGAAATCAATTTTAAAAAGACTGAGTAGGCCTATATTATATCTCTAAGGAACATTACTTCTTTTTTACTTTGTGTTATGTTAACATTAGAATGGCAAGAGTTTTAGATAATGTGGCGTCTGTTGTCTAGACATGTCTGGGACTTGTAATCTCATGAGATCGCAGGTACCGGGGTTTCAAGGTATGGCTCAGTCGGACATTGTCATTGTGTTCTTGGAAAAGGCACTTTACACAAATTTTCCCATTCGGCTCAATCTTATCGGAGACGGACATTAAATTAGGAGGAGGTCCCGTCTCTTAAATGACCTTAACTTAAAGTTAAAGTTCAGTAACTTTGAGGGGCATTTAACCTCCCACGATGTCGATGTACTCTTTATCTATAGGAAAGGCCTACAATTTCACACATTTAATTTTTTGTTCCACTTCAGTTTTATAGGGCTAAGATAAGCAAGCATGACAGACGGCCTGCCGCATAAGTTGCAAAGTTCTAGAAATTATAAAAAGAATGAAAATATAAATTATAAGATAGCCTAATTTCTATTTTGTACAAATTAACAACAAGATTAACCAATAGATCTACATAGATTGTGAAATGAGACTTGGTGAGGAGGCTAGAGCAGGAGTAGAAAAACAATGATTATTAAATTATCATTAGCCTATTATTGGCTATTTGCGACTTGCTGGTCTGGACTAAAAAAACAACAACAAAAAACAACGACGACACAACAAGGTAAACAAAGTGCCAATTTGCAAAGAGTTAAAAGTTAAAAACAAGTTCACAGGAACTGGCAAAACGGCAGTGGTTGCTACCGGCATCATAGAGCACAGTCACTGATGTTCATGCTTTGATTGTTCATTCAATCAAACGCTAAACATATAGAATTTATATAATACAAAATATATGATTATGATGTCCTCTAGACTCCAGATTGCACAGAGGTGTACCTACCTACAGCCGAACCAGCCGAACACAACGAAATTCCAGTTTTTAAACGAAACTGGTCTGAACTGCCAGTTACCGCTGGACTCTTGACCAGGAAAGTTATTTATAACTTTATTTCTACTCTGTCATCAGCTGTGCAAAAGGCCATTTTTTGCGAAGTTGTGGCTTCTCTCTTTTTTAAAACTCTAAATTGAATATTGTAAAGTCTCAGTGGGAAAAAGAATTCAATATTTTGGCAAGTGAATTAGTTCAAAATGCCTTCTGGTTCAACTTATTGTCAACGAAGCCAATGAAACAACTCAAACGGCGAAAGGCGAAGTACGAATAGGAAGAGGAATTGCGCATGCTCAAAGTGGGTACATAATGATGATTGTTTTCAAAATGGCTGCCCCCATCATGTCCTTTCGGTTTTAGAAAAAGTGGTGTGAGGGCTTTCTGTTCAATATTCTGTTCACTATTCTAGGATACTGACTTTCTTTTCAACGTTATCATTGTTATTGCAAGAAATTGTGCTGAAAATCAGAATAATAAGCCGGAGAGATGTCTTTTAAAAAGAAAGCTTACTCCAAAGCAATAACCTTTTTGTTCAAAGATCGCCTGCTGTGCCTGTCGTCTCCACTTTTTCCTGATGTTAATGTAAAATGTCGACTCATGTATAGTTCACTCAAGACAGGAGATTGTGTTTTCAGGAAAAAGTCTCTTTTGTCAGAAATGACGTATCAGCAATTTGCGTGCTATGTGACAAAAGCTAAGAAACCTAAGCCAAAAACTAGGCCTATTGCTACTGCTAGAAATAATGAAGTTGGTCAGGGACAGGATCATGCATCTTCACTGCATCAGCAACATCGTAGTCAGCCGCTTAGGCTTAGTGTGACTCAAGTGCTGCAGAACCTGAAGGAAAACTCAAAAAGTCGACCCAAACATGCGTATGTCTTTGATGAAGAAACTGCTCGTAAGGACCTTAAACTTACTTCTTTCTTTTAAAAAAGAAAAAAGACTTTTGAATTGTATTATAATTATGATTATTTTGACTAAATCTATAGATTCTAGATCTATATATCTAGAAATCTAGATCTAGATCTAAATCTATGTTTTGACTTCATTTTAATATTTATTCTTTCAGAATTTTAAACATTTAATTTTTTAGTTTTGTGTATTTTTTTCTTTCAGACTTCTGTTATGACATTCATGCAACACATTTAATTAACCAAAACTGTAAATTCACAAGGTACAATTTAAGTCAATCAGGATACATACTTTCAAATGCCTTTCATTTGTTGGTGATCTATTCGAAAGAATTTGCCCCAAGTCTCCTTTTGAAATCCAATTATTATTATACCTTACTCTGGCGCTCATATGTTATGCAGTTGCGAGAGCCGTAAAACCGCTACTGAAACACCCCCCCCAAAAAAAAACTTACGTTACTTCATTTAGACAGGAGAATATAATGAGATGAAAATGCTAATTCTGTGCATTTTTGGATTTTTTTCAGGATCATTGGTTACAACAGTCTTGAAGAATCGGAGAAAGCAAGGTGCTCCATTGCTAGAAATTCAGGCTGGTGTGTATTCCGTAGCTGTTGCATTGCCTTTTAAAAAAAAAATGATTTCTACATTTTGTGACCCTGTAGACTGTCTGGGTAAAAATAAATCATTTTAAAAATAGTTTCCATAATTTGTGTAAAATTCCCAAAATTCCCTACCTCTAGTCTATCACTAGAGCATGCCACCTCAGAAATCAGGAAACTGTGCCGTCAATTTCTCGTTTTTGAACTACTACCATTGTGACTTCTGCTCGTTTGAAGAAAATGGCTCTGTGAACTAATATAGCTAGCTAGAATATGTTGCTACTGTTGTGATTTTCAGTGCTAACTTTTCCTTGCTACTCATAAACGTTCAGTTATGAGAATCAAACATTTTTTGCAGCTGAAAATGTCCTTGTTCTTGCTCTTTTTATTGGGTATGAAAACATCCATTTCTTTTGACCTAATTTGATTTACAGGTATTGTGTAAATTATATATGAAATGGAGTTTTTAGTACCACAAAAAAAATGAAATTCAAGAAAAAAATTGGGGCCTGAAAATCTGTTTGCTGCTTGCATGCTAGACCGAAGTTGTTTTCGACATTTTACTTTGTTGTGAATTTCAGATCTTGACACCTGAGCATCATATTTCATATTCATAAGGTTTTACTTTGCAGGTCCAGGGATGATCAGCCGCGAACTTTTACGCAGTGGAGTGTCTAAAGTCATAGCCTTGGAAACCAACAAAGCTTTCACACCACTGTTACGTGTACGTTCTTTGTTGATTTTTGTTGAGGTCATTCATTTACCATATCATCAAAATTAAGGGTAAGATTGTTAGCTATAAATCTTAAATGTTCCAGAATTTCTAGCAGAGTGATAGTTGATTGGTGTGACAGCAGCATTGTTAATGCAGTCATCAAAATGTAGCTATGTAGTATTTGGTGCATATCATCAATATTGTTATTGTTAATGATTTAAAATCCTTTTTCATAAAACTTGACAAGTTGATCGGTTTATTGTCCTCCCAGCCATGGCTTTCCCAGAACAATTAAAGATGTCTGTCTGTCATAAAATACAGTTAAATCTGTTTAAACGAAAATCTGCGGAACTGCCAGATTTTCTTTAATTTAACTGTTTTTTTGTGAGAGGTTGCTCAAATAGAAGAAAAAAGGTGTGGGTTTTATTTCTTTTTTGGTTTACTGCTGTTTTCAGATTGACTCTGTTCGTTGAAGCGCACTCCACTGTAACTATTATGGGGCCAATATTCCTTTTCTTACACTTTTTTCTGTGTCTTCAGGAAGTGCAAGATGCCTATGGAGCAGAAAAGTTTGAATTCTTCGAGTGGCCAATGTTGTCACTCTTTCCTAAGCTGAATACGTCCAAAAAAGACAACAGTGTGAAATCCTACAATCAGCATGAACAGGTGGTTGTAGAGAAGCTTCGCACTGCTTCTTTGTCTCATGGTATGTGGCCTTAAGGAAATTATAATGATGTACGTGTGTGATGTGTTTGTGGCATTTGCCTGTACAGAGAAACTGAGTCCTCCAAACATAGAGTCAAGTTATTTTTAGGAAGAGTGTCGTTATGGATAAATTGAACACTTGTAACATCTTATTTGTAGAGTCAAGATTTTATGAATTGTGTAACACGTTTTTATGACCATTCGTAAGACATTCATACACATTTTTCTCCGGTATAATGGTAAGTTGCATCAGTGTTCTGGCCTCCAAAAATTGTTAGCCGTGATATAACTGTTTTTAAAATCTTTTTCGGGTTTTGTTAGAGGTGACCTTTCTCTGACGTACAAAAGCCAAACAAAAATGACTATTACTGTTCAGAATTTTTTTCAGAAAGTTGTTGTCCCTGAGTTATGTGATCCACTGCCGTTTCATTTTTCATGGAATGGCCCTTACCTCAATTACCTGTTTACCTTTTCCAGGAAAAACTTACAGCATCTTGGTGCTGGGAGGACAGGCGGAGAACAAAGACTTTCTGTTTTACCTGATTCGTAACTTGCCTCTTGGGGATGAAATTCTCGCAGCAGAAGGCGTAGAATTTTTTTTCTTGGTTCATCCAAAGATGAAATTGGTGAGTTAAACTGACTGACTGAAAATGTGGTCATGCTATGGGTACAACTGAATTTTTTTCCTCTCTGCCCAACTGTTGCTCTTATAAACACGACATTTACCAAAAGTCCGGTTGTCTAACATAAACCCAAATACAAGATATATTTTTACCTCGTAAGATCAGGTTTACCTGATGATGAGAATTGCGAATGGAGCGAGGGTGTAGAACTGCTCTGAAATATTCATGCTAGAGGGAAAAAAATGTTTTGAAGAAAAAAAAAAGACTAGGGAAAAATTGAAGCTTTTGACATTTTATTCTTTTAATGTGTCTATCATCTTTTGAAGTTGTATCTATGGTAAGGCAGATATAGTCTTCTTCACACTGATCAGAGTGTCGTTTTAAAACAAGCCTCTCAAAACCAGATCAAGCAGTGCTGTCATGTGGCAAAAAAAAGAAACAGCTCAGGCCGTGATGAGTGAAAACTAATTGATTAAGGTGTTGAGCAGACATGTGGGATGAGCATAACTAACTGTCCCAGGGCCAAACAGAGGTCCCAGCTACGGAAAAGAGAATGGGGAGCCACATCTGTGCTCATCTTTTCAATAGGTCTGGCTATCTGGCACTTGATATCTTAGGCTGGTAGGTTTTAGTTTTTTTTCCAAACATGATAGAGCTGGAGAGTTTTTCTCCCTGAATCCCCTCTGGTTGGGGGTTCCCTATCAGTGTTACCTGGGGAACAGGCGGTTGGGGGGGGGGATTACAAAGCTTGTTCGCTGTGTGAAGCAAAGTGGGACACTACCTTTGCCAGTTTACTTTTACTACTACAGGCCAAGTGGGGAAAGCACATACTGTTTATGTACAATTTTTGTTACTGTGAAAAGAAGAACGGTCTGATTTCAAATTATGATAAATGATTATAGTTTAATTTATGCAGGGGAAAACTCACCGTCCTTCGTCTCTGCAGGTGGTTGGGAGGCTCCACTTGTAGGTCCTACTTCCTTTCTTTTCCTCTGTTGTTTCTGTCGATCTGTCTTGCTTCCTCCTTGCACTATAAATATGACCATTATTGTGTCGGTGTGCTTCTCTTTACTCAAATCAAACTCAAGCCTTTGTGTTTTTATTTCTCACTTTCAAATTTTGACATTGAAATGGTACTGACTTCTGATTTGTGTTTAGTGTATTTTTTTAAGCCTTCCCGTTAAAATGTCATAAATCGTTTTGATGTGTATCTGCAGTAACTCCAGTTCTCAATTCTTTTGTTTCCAAAGCAACATTTACAATGCATAGAACATGCTGTAGAGCTTGGATATGCGACACATAAATACAACTGTTATTACTATTACATATATCATTATCATCATTATTATCATTCTACTTCTTCTTCTTCTTCTTCTTCTTCTTCTTCTTCTTCTTCTTCTTCTTCTTCTTGTTATTATTATTATTATTATTATTTAACTTACTAATGTGCATTGTTTCATTACAGGCAATGGAGAATCTTAAGGATGATCGAAATTCTAATAAATCTTCCCCAAACCTCAGTTACCTTCACATCCTGGCTCATTTGCTGTACGACTTTGAAGTTATAGGAAAGGTATGTTAGGTGCTGTTGATGTCTCAGGTTATGTAGAGAAATCCAAACTTTCACATGGGGGGGGGGGGGGGGGGGTGGTGGAGAAAAGTTGTCATATATATTCATCAGCATGATGTGATGTGAGATGTGTTTGTTTTATTTCACTGATGTTACAAGAAATTTGTCACCGCACAATATCTAATCTTCATTGTAAGTGCTGTGTGCTATTACCACCCAATCCTACATCGATACTTAGGAAGACACACTTGGCATTTCTTACATCACTCGTTGTAAAACATTTTCCTCTTGCTTTCCTCTTTGTAAACTGTGACACTAAATGTGACTTAATATACTTTTCTTTCTATTTAAAACAAATGAATGAGTGAGTAACCGCCTGGCACTGTGTACTTGACTGGGAATATAGACCAGGAAACAAAGTGGTAAATACTCTTAGCTCTTTGGTACCCAGTAAAGCAGCAATCTGATGAGCATTAATTTTTTTCCTAACCTAACCTGAAGGGAAATACTAAAAAAGAGATATTTTGCTGCTTTTTTTTGTCTCAAACAGCTACATTTATACATTTTGCTCATCGTATATTAGTTGTACAGCACCTTAGAGAACTCAGAGTTCTTGAAAATTGTTTTGTGGACACTATTAGTGTACATTTTTATTGTTATAATCTATTTCTGGTTTTGATTTCAGTTTCAGGCAGACAGTTTTTGGTTGCCTTTCAGTGCAAAGAAAAGTCGACGGGTATGACTTCTTTTTGCTATCTTTTTGTGCTCTTTCCGGTGGGGAAAAGCTACATTTATGTGGATTTTAAAAAATTTCCATTAAGTTAGATCAGGAGTCTGGAAAAGGATCATGATTGTTTAGAGGATTAGAGGATAGACAGTTCGTCTGGGGATTGTTGTATTTGTAAAGGATGCTTTGTTCCTTTGCTTCTGCTTATGGAGGTAACATACAGTATAACGCGGATAGCTTGAATTCGAGGGATCCTTAGTTCAAGGGATTCTTACAAAGATAAAGAAGAAGAGAAAACTAGACCGCAGTCTCAGTTTGGCGGATGCATGGCTTTGAGTCTTCTGTGTTCGACCTATCCATGTTATACTTCAGTTTGTTTATCTCATTTCATTGATTGAAAATACAGTAAACCCTGACAACACAAACTTTATGGGACCAGAGAATTTTTTCTTGCTAAGCAGATTTCGTGTAAAGGGAAGTTGCAATGCATAGAATAAAGAGGGGAAAGAAGGAAATGGGGATCTAAATCGTTTCATCATAACGGGAATTTCGTGTCAGATGAGTAAGTGATAAATAAAAGCCCACTGTATTTTATTTTGAATAAGTTTCTCTATGCCTTGAGTGGTGGCTCATCTTAATTTGTTTCTTCATGTTGCTATTCTGGTGAACATTTTAGAGCCTCATGGTTCTGATGGCAGATGTGTTTTGTTTTAGTTTATTTATAATTTTTGAATTTGGGTTTGCTCTAAAAAATTCTATATCGTTTTGGCTTGGCTTCCCCTCTGGCTCAAGGGAACATTTTCACAATTGCCTCAGAAAATCCGGTTGCTGTTAATTTTATTTTATAAGTTTCTGTTATGTTTTTCCAGCTCAAGGATCTAGACACGTCGGTTCGATTCTTGGTGAGGATGCGTCTGAAGGAGAAGAGAGAGGACGTCCTGCCCCTGCATCAGCACGCCCCCTTCTCCATCTTTCTCCGGCAGCTGTACAAGAAGACCAAAGCTCGTGTGATTCCTACACTGGAGTGAGTGCTTCTTTTGTGCAGGAATTTGAGGACATGCACACCTGTATTTCAGTATTTGTGCAGTTAGTACAATGATTCAACAGACGGTCCTCAGAACTTCACATTATATGGTCACACACACACACACACACACACACACACACACACACGCACGCACACATATATATAAAAATATATAAATCATCAGTAGGTCAATTTCTCTCTCTCAAACTTGAATATTTTTTTTTAAAGCACTAAGCTTCGTCCGCTCTTTCATTTTACCAAAATTACGTAATAATTGAAGGCCATGAAGGAAGCCTATATATGTATATATTCTTCTCTGATTTGTTTCTGGTTGCTGAACTCTCCATTTTTATCTACAGATATAGTTTTGTTCTTCCCCTTACAATGCACGAATCCTGATCGAGTTTATTACGTTTCTATTACCTCCATTGGATGTGACTCATATATAATTTAATGATTACTTCCCTTCCTTCACAAACTCTCTCAGTGAAAGCTGTTTGGAGATGACATTAATTTGTCAATTAATCATTGATGCTGGTGCAAGACTTATTTTTCCTTCGAAAAAACACAGAATAATGTTACCTTATTTAACAGGACAAGATGACACAATTATTATACGCCATATAGTATTATACTGTATATTTTGTTTTTGCTGAACTCTTCTCTTTAATCTGCAGATGTCATTCTCTAGCTTGTCCCCTCATAATGCATATATATATATATCCTGGTGGAACTTGTTATTCCATTTCTATTATCTCATCTGAATGTCAGTGTATATTCTAATGGCTACTTCTTTTGGTTTCGAAGAGCTCCCGCTACAGCCGTTCTCTGATGACGTTTTATGAACTATAATTGTTGAATTACTTCCCATGGAACAACCCCTAAGCTATTAACCTACTCAGTGGGCTAATGTTACTTGTGTATCAAATGAATATCCAACAGTGGTATAAACAATCACAGATCTTTCACAGACAACTGTGAATTTCTGTACACAAAACAAGGGCCTAAGATTTGGGTGGTCAGTGCTTTTAAGAAAATGCTATCTCTCTCTTTTTCTTCAGATTGTGGGGGTAGATAGAGTTCATAGAGAACAATAGACGAAATGTGTTCCAAAGATTTTGACATTTGAATGTCACGTGTTTGCCTGCAGGGTGGTGGGGAAGATTGCTTTGTATTTGAAATTATTTTTTTCTGTGTTTATAATTTGGATGTTTAGCTGTCTCACAAAACCTAGACTGTAATTGTTTACTTTCTCGTGTTTAATTCCAGGGAGGACTTCCGTAACGAGCGACCACTCCTGAACTCTATCATGAAATATTACACTCAATGGCCATAGAAACCAGTACCGACGGAAGGCCTATTTAAGCCAGTATGTTAAGTAAATTTCTACCTAGAATCTACAAATGATGAAATTGCCGTGGTTTATGTATTCTTAACTCCAGCGCAAAGTTTTGAAGCAGTGGGAGTTGCATAGAGTTTTGTGTAGATCTAGATCGGAATTAAACGCGAGAAAGTAAACAATTGCCACCTAGGCTATGTCAGTGCAGTTGCGAGTGCCGTAAAACCTTACTAACACTATCTAAAGAATGACTAAGTATTTTTCTTTTTTCAAGAAATTGTCAAGATCTTTTATTTCCCCACAGGATGCTAGTTCCGGGCTGTGGGCTGAGGGTGATAGGGGCTGGGTTTACCATGATGGACATCATCGGCCCCACACAGACAGAGAGGTTCTTGGCTCTCTACAAGGTACGTACAAAGATGAGATAGATCTTTATTATCCAGATGCTGGCACATTGGTTTGATGTTTCTCCTTGCACACATACACACACTAGTACATGCAGACACAGGCGCACACACACACACACATGTGTACACACACACACACACATCCCTGTGCACGCACGCACGCACACATATAGGCATGCTTACGTATGCGCAGACACCCATGCACACATACTCTCTACCTCATCCTGTCTTCCACACATATACACATGCACACATAATATGTTCATATAGTTATACTGTACTCACAAACAGACGTATCTATGATATGCATTGAGTTCTTAAAATTAATGCTGTTCCGTTACAAACTGCATCCAAAAAAAGTAGAATTGAGTAATGAAATAATGACTTTTTCACCCCTCTCTGTTCTCTCTCCCTATTCTAACTAAAAGAAAACGAACAATAGACATTGGTTCGCCATTTTTGTTTTCTGCAGCCTGTAACGCTATCATTTTTTCTAAATCCCAACCAGGAAATGCTGACGTGGCCTGAGTATGCGAGCTCTCCCCTCCACAACCACATCTTGGTGAAGACAACAGGGGGAATAGAGCAGGAGGAGGAGGAGGAGGAGGAACGAGTGCATGATGACTTGGTGAAAGACGACGATGTTCCCAGCAAGACATCTGATGTTGAAAGATGACAATGAAACCTGTCCATACTAGGCCACGAATCTTATTCATGTGATGACTAACAGGGCATAGATGGCTCTGTGGTGGAGGCTGGTTTCAAGGATGTTGTATCAGTTCATTTGACTGTGTTATCAGACGGTCTGTTGTCGATTAAATTTCCTCATTGCTCACACAACCAACAGTTTATTACCCCATATACAATCAAAATTGTCCAAGATGGCCACTCATTGTGAAGGAGAAAAGTGCTTGTCTTAGACAGTTGGACATCTTGGAAAATGTCATCATATTTGGGAGGGGCTAAGATGCAAAACCCGCCTACATCCATTTTAGCACTTTTGAGAAAATCAGCTTTTTTTAATGCTGGTATACGAAAGAACATGCGTAGAAAGAAGATTTTTTGGTGACTTTTATGAAGTATTTTTGGGGGTTTGGGCGGAAAACACTTTGTGCCCCTGATAGCCGGTAACAATGTGCATGTATAAGCAGAAAATCTCAACTTAACCAGCTGATGCCTGCCAGCGACCTGCCAAACTGTGGGCCGGTGATTATAAACTTCACAGCTGAAAGTGAACATGTGATATATATGTTCAAAGTAATGGTCAGCATTTGGATCTTGTTCTTGTAAAGAAATGCTGTCTGTGAAAACTATACTGTATTTCAAATTGATGACTTTTGTTGAACCCAGAAAGGGAAAAGCAATTCATCACTAAATCCTCACTTTAGAATTTTGAGATTTAACACTTCTTAAGCTGGAGTTTAATTTTTTTGGTACAATATTTTTAAAATCATGTTCCTGACTGGTTTCTGATTTTGTACACTTGCTCCATGATGGCATATTTATGTGTGTAAAAGTTTGGTCAGTACAGTAATCGTTACTCAAGTTTTATTAAAGTTCATTGGGGAGGGGAGGGGGAGGATGTTTACTTTGTAAAAGGTTTTTAATTGATGGCAATAATAGTGTTCTCTTCATCATACTTATGTGATCAGAACTCTGTACCTGTATAGCATTATATCTTATTGTTCTGAGTATTTATTGGCAATAATGTAATTATTAACTTTATATTGCTCTATCTGTACATGAGATGTGGATGTAAAAAGTTTTTTTCTCAGGAATAGTTTTGCGCAATGTTCTTTTTTTCATGTTTATTTTTTAAATTTTCTACTGTGCCTTTACCTGTGGTGTGACCTTGTCTTTGTTTGACTGTTGAAATGTACATTTTGTTAACATGAGCTGTATACAATTGTGCCATTGACAAGAAATTAAATTCAAGAAAAAGGAAAAGGTGTCTTTAGTTTATGTCCTTGAACAGATTTCTGAGTACTGTTGGGGGGGGGGGGGATCTCTCGTGGCATAGAGGTTAAGGTGTTCGCCTCTCATTCAATAGGTCCCGCGTTCGAATCCGGATAGCAAAGAAAATTTTTCTTCTCTAAATTGTCTTTTTTCACCTCCGTTCCTGCTCTCAAGCAATGTCCTGTCGTCTGCTTTCGTATCCACTTTTTGCCCCCACCCCCTCACCTCTTGTGCCCCCTCCTCTGGGCTCCTGACTCTTTCTGAAGCCTTTCTACTGCTACTCCTTGGCTCTTTCTTAGTGCTGTCTTTCAGCCACACCCCTTATCTTATGGTTGGAAAGATCTACGCCAAGCCTTCTCGGACAAGGGCGAAAAATCTCGGAGATCCTGTATGCAAGTTGCGCACATTAAAGATCCCTTGGTGGTCCAAAATCGATTTTGTCCCCTGGGCAAAATTCAAAAGTTCCTACCAACTGAAAATGTTTAATGTGTCCTGCACGCTCATATGACCATATATTATGCAGTTGTGAGCGCCATAAAACACTTACAAAAAAAAAAAAAGAATATTGTTGGCCCCCCTACTCTGACAGAACAGTCGGGATGGAGGGTGGGTGGTTGGCAAGTGCTCTGGTGTGGTTTGCTCCTTCTGTCCTATCAAACATCTATCATCCTGATCTCTCCTCCTGTTTTATCTTTGTTACCCTCTTGTAACACCTCTAATCTTCGGCACTTATATGATGACCTTATTGTGTTGCAAGTGCCGTAAAACTCTTACTAAAATTAAAACGGGACTGAGGTGATGTCCCTGTCATCGTAGCCGAATCTGTTACAGACACGGGGATCTTGTTTACATCGATGGAACTAATGGGAAGGGAATGGGATCGTTTTTATTAAACTACATTGTTGAACTAGAGGGCGACCGAGAAGGACCTGGATAGATGGAGTCACGGAAACATTAACCACCCACAGCATCCCCCCTGACCCAAGCTCTCCGGCTGGCGACAGAGAGACGTCTCTTTCTTCCCGCGACACCCAAAAGGGTATAAGCGGCGGATAAAAGTAAAAAGTATTGTTGTACAAATGTACCTAGAGTGGGATCGTTTTTATTGAATTACATTGTTGTACCTAGATTCGTCATCGCCAATGCCTTTCTCACCCAGGAGAATCATTTTCACACACAAAAAAAGCGCCAGAATGGTCTCATAGTTTGGTGTTGATGATCCAGTGATTAGGCTTATAACTGAAAGGTTATCGGTTTGAATTCCACCAGGGGCCCGACATTCGGTCCTTGGGAAAGGCATTTACGAGTACCTCACATCACCTAAGTGGTAATGAGTACCTGGCTATATAGAGGGTGGAAGAGCTTGTTAGTTTGTTACTGTTTGAGTGCTTAATGGGCTGCATACACTGTATGCTTCCTGGGCACCCGAGAATGTTTCTGAGTGCTCTGTGGTAGAGTTGCAGGTTCAACCGTTTGACTGTTGACCATTGTTCCAGCAAGATTTCCCCTTTCTCAGAAGGGAAGTTTTACCGATCAGTTCTTTATTTAATTGAACGAAGTTTCAATTTTTCAAACACTGTTGGAACAAGATTAATTCCTTTTTAAAAGTCTAATATGTAAACCGAGTGCAACTGATTCAGAGTCATTTTTGAGTGGTTACCCTTTGCTTGTAGGTCTACTTATACTGAATGAGCTTCAAATGGGAGTGAACCGAAGAGTCGGAATACTGCATGCTTTTCTCCCGGCTGCTCTCCGCTCGGGATTGTTCCGTGTTGCAACTATCGGAGAGAGAGAGAGAGTGATGAGAGAAGGAGAATGTGTGTGTGTGTGTGTGTGTGTGT